TCCTGGCAGAATTGTTTGTTAAAAGGGTCAAGTCAGCCCCATACTAGTCTGAAAGGGCTCCAGAGACAGGGTGGGATTTTTGACCCTCAATTCTTAGGGCAGGTGAGGAAGAAGCCACAAGGTACCAGGCCCCTACTAGGTGCTAGGTAATTCGTAATTAATTCTCTCATGTTATCCTCACAAGAATTTATTGCCCCATTTTATAGTAAACTGAAGGAGAGTGAGGCTGGTGGAACTGGGGTTTGAACCCAGGATGACCAGGCACCAAACCCCAGACCCCTCCACTTGCCCAGCTGGGGCGAGAGGTTAAGCCCAGATTTCCAATCTTATCTGGCCTCTGTTGGATCCCATGGCCCTTGTTCCCTGACCCTGCTGCTCCCTGCTCCCTCCCTTCTCCTGTACCTGCCCCCTCTCTCCTTCAGGCACAGCTCGGCTCACCAACGTGCTCATGAGCATCTGGGCACACAGCAGCTGAGACTGCAGAGCCAGCAGTGTTGGTGGCTCTGCAGCTGGGGCTTCGGTAACATGTCAGGGCTGATTCAGACCTGAGACCTGGCGAGTGCAGCCACCCAACCTGAGGGATTTGAGACAAAGAATAGCTGGTCCCCTCCCCTCTGGCTGGCCCCACCCCAGGCATTTCCAAGGGCTCACCATCTGGGTTGGTGCCAGCTCAGTGCCTGCTGCTAGCCTAATACCTCGCTTGGTCTCAAAGAATCCTCCTCTGTTATGGAGCAGGTTGGAGTGAGTTTTCTCCATGCTCCTTCCAGCCCCCAGACTCCTTGGCTTTCAAACTTAGGGTTGTAGTTAAGGCTGTGAGGTCACAGACAAGGGTTCCCATCTTGCTCTGCCACTTGGGAACTAAATGACTTCGGACAAGTTGCTTTCTCCTTTTCCTCATGTATAGGGCTGTCCTGATGATTAAAGGAGACACTGTAGGTAAAGCACACAGCACAACGACTGGGCCGTTGAAGTGGTGGCCACACCTAGTGATGTGGGGGTTGGGGAGGGGCAGGAATTTTTGCTCAGATCTGCTTAGGCATTCAGTAGGTGCTTAATAGTTGGATGATCCTTCCACAAGGTAATCCTGACTTTTGCTTCTTCGATCATCAGGGTCATAACTAATGATGTGGGTTTATGTCCTAGAGTTCTGAGGGAGGCAGGAAATTAAGCTTTTCCAACCCTTGGTTTAAGTCTAAGGAGTCTGCTCTATTGTGTCCTGAATGACCTCCTCTGTTCTTCCCTCTTATCAGAGGTATCTGGGCATTCAGTGTCCTCTTCAGAAAGCCTGCCCAGATTTCTCCCAATCTTTATGGTCCCAGCTCTTAACAGACCTCAGTATTGCGGTCTTGAAGGACCCTAGTCAGTATTTGATTCTTTATATCTGGTCCCACTTGGGCCCCCAGGTGTCCCTTGGTGCCCAGGCAAAGGCAGGCGGTTCTAGAGGAAAAGCCAGGCCAGGTGCCACTGGAGACCAGACACTAGCCAGATCCTGTTTCTCCAACAGCGCTGTGAGCAGGGCAGCAGGGCTGGCAGGCACTGGGTGTTTTTCTTCCTGTGCATGAGTGCGATGAAGATGCTCAGATCTCTCCGCTACCAGGAGCGAAGTTAGCTGCCTGCCTCCAGCAGCTAGCATCTTCAAGTGTCGCCTCAGCATTTGAGTAGAAGCCACACCCTTCCCAGGCAGCTGCAGCCAATGGCTGAGCACAGCAAGGCTCCAGGGGCCTGACCACGTTTGCCCAGCCCAGGACTCCAGAGCCCCCAGTTGGGTTGGCCAAGACTTTGTCAGATCTGCATCACAGTCTGAAGGCTTGCCCTGCCCAATCCTGCTTCCTCCCCGTCTTATCTTCCACAGTCACCACCTCTCCCTACAACCTTCTTAAATCTCCGAAATGCATCTCAGCATCTGCTTTACCTGGTGCCCAACCCACACACCTTCCATCTCCAGCCCCAGCACAGCACTGTGTAAAGGATGGGCTGAAATGGGCTCCTGGATGAGATGCTGTGTGGGGGAAGCTTCGGACTTCAAGGTCTCCAGACTCTCATAGACTAAAAGGGGACCTGAGAACATCTCTATTCCAATTTCCCCTTTCACTCATTCTTTTAATGTGGAGAACATGGAGAACGTGCCAGGCCCTTTGCTTCAGAGACGGATGGCCTGGTGGGGGAGAGAGAGAAGCAGGCTAGCACTCTCAGCCATGGTTTCGGCACACTGATGAGAACGCCTAATCCTCACAGGGAATTGGGGTTCTCAGCTTAAGGGGCTGCTGATTTAAAAATCTGCGCTGGCAGGGCCTGATTTTCTTTTGTTTCCTTTGCTAGAAGCCTTTACAATGGAGACATCTTAAGTAACAATAAGGATGGCAAATAACACTTCCTCCGTGCTCCCCTCTGCTGGGCACTGCGCTGGGGCATCAGGTAAAGGCTTGAAGGGAGACTGCAGGTTAGTCATGGAGTCAGCCCTCCTAGCTTACAATCCACCACTCACTGGCTATGTGACCTTGGACAAGCTACTTGACCTCTGTCTGCCTCATGTTTTTCCTCTGTTCAATAGGAATTCAAGAATATCTTCTTTACACTTGCTGTGAAAAATAAGCAAGCTAAAACTTATAAAGTGCCAGCAGGGCCCTGCATAGAATAAGTGCTCAATAAATGTAAACATTTTTATTATTCTTTTCATCTCAGTTGATCACAAAAAGATCTATGACAGGAGTGCTGTTATTACCTCTATTTTTTTCCAGGTGTGGAAATTGAAGTTCAGACAGATTTAAAAACTTGCCCCAGGTCAACAGTTAGCAAGCGGATGCACGGGGACGCTGAGGCCAGGCAGGCTGACTCCAGAGTCCAGAGTCTTCCCCCCTAGACTGCCTGCAGCTCTCTCACTCATCTAAGGCCTGGGGAAAGTTTTCTTTAAAAACCCTTTTTATCAAGGTGTGTATATATATATGATATGTATATATGAAAGGTCACAAGTAATAAATGTTCAGCTCAATGAATTTTCACGAACTGGAGACACCTGTGCACCAGCACCCTGCTCAAGATGCAGAGCACAGCCAGCCCCCAGCGACGCCTGCGCCCTCTCCCTTCGCTGTTCCCCCAGAGGGAGTCACTGTTCTGGCTTCTAATGCTATAGATTAGTTTCACATGTTTTTAAAAGATCTTTTCCAACCTTACGGAAGTATAATTGAAGTACAATAAACTACAAATATTTAAAATGTACAATTTGATCAGTTTTGATATTTACATATACCCATGAAACCAAACTTCAGAAAGACAACATTTCCATAACCTCGAGAAGAAGTTTCCTTGTGCCCCTTTGTAATCTGTCACTCCCTCCACCCCTGTCCTAGGCAACCGCTGATCAGCTTGCTGTTCCTGTAGGTTAGTTTGCACTTTGTAGAATGTTGTTTAAACGGAATTACGCAGTGTGTCCTCTTTTGGCCGGGGGCGGCCGGGGGGAGTGCATTGAGGTGATGGGGGGGAGGAGTGGCCAGTTTCTTTCCTTTAGTGTAGTGCTTTTGAGATTCACTCATTTTGTTGTGTGTGTCATCAGTTTTTTTCCTTTACTGCTGAATAGTATTCCATTGTATGGCTATATCACAGTTCAGCTGTTCACTTGGTGGAAATTTGGGTTGGTTCCAATTTTTTATCATTACAAATAAAGTTATGAATTTCCATGGACAAGTATTTGTGTGGAAATTTGTTTTTGTTTCTCTTGGTTAAGTATCTACAAATGAAATGGATGGGTCACATGGTAAGTGTAGGTTTAGTTTTAAAGAGTCTATCAAATAGTTTTCCAAAGTGGTTGTATCATTTTACATTCCTTCCAACAGTCTGAGAGTTTCAATTGCTCCACATCCTTACCAACATTAGGTATGGTCAGCTTTTTAAATTTTAGCTATTGTGGTGAATGTGTTGTAATTTGCATTTCCCTGATGACTAATGATAATGAGAATTTTTTCACTCGTTTATTAGTCATTTGTATATCTTCTCTGTGAAGTGTCTTTTCAAACCTTTTGCCCATTTTACTATCAGGTTGCTTGTTTTCTTATTACTGAGTTGTAAGTGTTCTTTATACATTCTGGATACAAGTACTTTGTCTGATAGATATGTTACAAATATTTTTTCCCTGAATGTGGCTTGCCTTTTCATTTTCTTAATGATGACTTTCAAAGAACAATGGTTTTTTATTTTGATCAAGTCCAGTTTATCAATTTTTCCTTTACATGTGCTTTTTGTAGTCTAAGAAATCTTTGCCTATCCCAAGGTTGTTAAGATACTCTTTTTTTTTGTCTAAAAGTTTATGGTTTTAGGTTTTACATTTTGGTCTCTGATCCATTTTTAAGTAAGTTTGGATATGGTGGTTGTATCAATGTTCATTTTTTTTCCAGTGGATGTCCAGTTGATCAGAACAATTGTTGAAAAACTTTTCCTTTTCCCATTGAATTTTCTTAGCACTTTTGTAAAAAATCTGTTGACCAGATATGTGTGGGTCTATTTCTGGACACTATTTTTTTGTTGCATTGATCTGTGTCTAGCTTTCCACCAGTACTAAATGCTCTTGATTACTGTAGCTTGAAGGAAGCCCTGAAGTCAGATAGAGTAAGTTCTCTAACTTTGTTCTTCTTTTAAAAATGGCTTTAGTTGTTCTAAGTCCTTTGAATTTTCATAGACATTTTAAAATCAGCTTTTCAAATCCAAAAAAAAAGTGCCTGATGGAATTTTGATGCGGATTACATTGAATTTATAGATCAATTGTGAGAAGAACTGGTATATTAGGCATTTTGTATCTCCCAACCCAAAACATGACAGACCTCTCCATTCAGTTAGGTCTTCTTTAATTTCAGCAATGTTTTATAGTTTTCAGTGTAGAGGTTTGCTAAATTTATTCCTAGGTATTTGACAAATTTTGATGCTATCTTAAATGGGATTTTCAAAATTTTACTTTCAAATTGTTTGCTGCTAAAAACTTTCATGATGAACCCTCCTTCCTTTCACAACAGAGACATTGGGAGCACCTAGACGAAGGGGAGATTCCTGCAGTGCTCTGGCAAGTGCTGTAGGTAAGATGTCAAGGCCTGAAAGAAGAAAGGCAGAGTGACTGGTGGCCTCCAAAGAAGAGCTCCCTCCCTCTGCCTCCCTTGAGGACGCTTCCCACTTTCTATTAGGGAGTGCGGGTTGTTGTGATGATGAGAGTCGGGGAGATTCTGCAGTGGGAGGGGATTCTGCACTTTCTCCCTAGTGCCACCCACACGCACGGCTTCCAATATCTTCCATACGTTAGAGACAAGTTACCTCCTCTAAGCTCCAGGGATGTGCCTCTCACAGGGCCCTTAGACTCTCCAGAACTGACCTCACAATCTTCCCTCGAACCTGCTTCTTATCCAAATGTTTCTTTTACTGGAAATGGCAACCTCCTCCACCAGTTGCACAATACCCCATAGGAATAGTAGTAAATACCCAATAAATACTTATTGTATGGATAAGTGAATGAATATTTGTAGTATAGGAAATGGTCTTATCGCATGTAAGTTTTGAGGAAAGTTACCTCCTTTGAGCTAGCTTGGGAAGTCCCATGCCTGTTCCCACAATGCTGGAGAGATCAAGACTTAAATAAAGTTCCATGAGACTGCATGCTGGAACTGGTTCTTTCTCTTGTGTTACTCTGGGACCTCACTGAGACTACAGCTACAGGCAGCAAGAGGGTGGGGCATTTCCGGTCCTGGGGACACATATATTGCTTTTCCTTGCAATGACTGACTCTTGCTCATTTCTATATCGCCTGTGCCTTGGCGCAGTCCTGGAATGCAGAAGATACTTGATAAATGTTTGAAGGAATGAATAAATACTTGAATTAATGAATGAAAGAATGAAACAACTCCATGGTCTAAGTACTATTACTCTCTTTTTACACATGGGGAAACCAAGGCTCAGAGACTACCCAACTAGGAAGCAGCAAAACTGGGGTGCAAACCCAGTCATCTTGGTTCCCAGACCAGTGATCCCTCTACTGCATCAGGAAAGTTATGACAACCAAGTACACATCTCATTTCATTTTCCTCCCAACTAGTAGTTCTTAGTGCTTCCTGCATGCCAGGCATTGATAGCCGGATGAAGCAAGATTGGATGAAGCTATCAATGTCCTCTTGAGAGCACGTATGGCTAGCCACAGGATTTAAAAAAAAAAAAAGAAAGCCTTTCTCCTAGGGCCCTGACCTGAACCAATTCTTGCTCATCTAAAGCAGGGTCCTCAAGGAAAGATTCCCAGGGCCCTCCCCTGGAAATTCAGTCATTCATCTAGAGGTGATGCCTGGGAATCTATATTTTAACCGCTGCCTTGGGTTGGTCTGGAAGACAGCCAGTTGGGAACAGTCCAACAGAAAGTTTGGACAGAAGCCTCATGAGGATGAAGAATAAGCCTGTCTGTTCTTTTGTTTGCAAACATTTACAGAGCAGTTACTATCTCTCAGTCACTATTCTAAGTCCTAGGGAACACACTAGTGAAGAAAACAAAGTCCTTATTCTCATTCATTCTATGGGGTGGGTTGGGGAGGCGGAGACAGTGAACAAGTCAAGAAATAGATGTGCAGAATAACCTCTGAAGCAAACAGAGTGGAGTGATGTGATACGGAGTGACAAGGAGAGGGTAATTTAGCTCTCTGAGGAGGTGACATTTACGCTGAGTCCCAGATGACCAGAAGGAGCCAAGCTTTGGGAGCTCTGGGGGAAGAGTATTCCAGGCAGAGGGAACAGGAGATGGCAAAGTCTGTGCAGATGGGCACACTTGGTGTGTGTGGCTGACGTGGCATGAACAAGGGGACAAACAGTCGAAAATGTGGTTAGACAGAGGGAGGCAGGAACCATAGCATTTGAGGCCTTAGAACCAAGCAAAAGGTTTAGATTTCTTTCCAGAGGGTTTTAAGCAGAAGAACTGACATGACGTGATTGCTTTAATTGGCTTGCTCTGGCCACTAGCCAAAGACAAGAGCCTAGGGGTCTAAAGTGGGAGTGGGGGGCCAGCTAGGGGCTTGAGGGAGTCCAGGCTAGAGATGGTGGCAGCTGGGCCTGGGTGGGAAGGTGGAGATGGAGAGCGGTGGACAAGCCAGAAATGCAGCTGTCAGAAGGCTTTGTGGGGATTTGGAAGTGTGGGGAGGGTGAAGAGGACAGAGAGCATCAAAGATGCCTCCTAGGATTGGACCTGGATAACTGGGTGAATGATGAGCCACTTACTGAAATGGGAGGACTGGGTGAGTGTTCTGGGTTGAATAGTGTTTCCCAAAAATTCATGTTCACTCACAAAGACTTACTTCTTGACCAAACTTAAGAGGCTCCTCTGATCTCTCTTTTCTATTAGGCCTCAACTCAGGCCTATGAAAACTACAGACTGTCAGCGCAAATGATTTTGTCCACCCTCCCACCCCCACACCAAAAGACCTGAATAAACACTAACATAGTTTCTGACAGCTCAAGGCTGCATTCCTAGAGAGAACCCAACTCCCTCCTTTTTTTTTTTTTTTTTTTTTTGGTGAGGAAGATTGGCCGTGAGCTAACATCTGTTGCCAATCTTCCTCTTTTTGCTTGAGGAAGATTAGCTCTGAGCTAACATCTGTGCCACTCTTCCTCTATTTTTTTTTTGTATTTAGGATGCTGCCACAGCATGGCTTGATGAGCAGTGTGTAGATCCGTGCCTGGGATCCAAACCCACAAACCCTGGACCAGAAGCAGAGCATGTGAACTTAACTGCTACACCACTGGGCCGGCCCCACCTATTCTCCCTTTAAAATGCCCAGTCACCTCTGCACAAATGCAAGTTGAGTTTGTGAACTCTTTTCCCTGTTGTAATGGTTGTTACTGAGTAAAGTCTACCCTTACCACTTTAACTAGTGTTTGGCTTTATGTTTGACACCACCCAGAACCTGTGAATGCAACCTTTTTTGGAAATGAGATCTTTGTACGTATAATCTCATTGAGATGAGGTCATACTGAGTTAAAGGGGACCCTAATCCAATGACTGGTGTCCTTATAAGAAGAGGGAAATAAGGTGCAGAGACAGACACACAAGGAGAATGCCGTGTTGTAACAGAGGCAGAGAGTGGAGTTAGGCTGCCACAAGCCAAGGAATGCGACTAGCAACCACAGAAGCTAAGAGAGAGGCATGGGACAGATTCTCCCCCAGAAACTCAGGAAGGAACCAGTGTTCCCCGCAGCTTGATTTTGGACTCCTTGCCTCCAGAATTGGGAGAGTATAAATTTCTATTGCTTTAAGACACCCAGTTTGTGGTACTTTGTTATGACGGCCCTAGGAAACTAATTCTGGGAGAAACAGGTTTTGTTAGCACCATATCCACCGGCACCTAGCACAGTGTTGGACAGAGAGTAGATGCTCAATAAATATTTGTTGAATGAATTAGTGACTTGCTCCTACTCATCCTGGACTGAAGCAAACATAATAATATCTTCCTGGCTTGGAAAAACACTTATTGGCAGTATTGTAGAAATTCAAGATATTATCCTTTGTAATAAACACCTACTGGGGCAACAGCACTCTCCAATCAAGTCAATGAGGTGGCATAGTGATTGCCATTTCACAGGGAAGTCAACAGAGAGCCAGAGAGGGGCCCCAGGTCACAGCCCCTGTAAGGGGAAGCGCTACAAATGGGAACCCCAGTGTGTGTCACACTGACCTCAAGCTTGTCGCTCATTCCACTCAGCTGTCAATGCAGAAAATAGGCTGGTTCCTGCTGAAACTAGTTCTTTTGCTTTTCAGCTTTGACCTGGGCCCAGGTGCTGATCCTGAGGTCAGACCTGTCTCAGGAGAGAGGGTGCCAGGTAGGTCCTTGTCTCAGCTGTTACTGAGAGCTCCATTCAGCTCAGCGAGTCTCCAGATCCTGGCATCTCCCCTCCCTGGCTCCTTTCAAGCAGTTCTCAAACTTTAGCTGTGCACGTGAATCACCTGGAGGTTCTGTTGAAATGCAGATTCTGACTCAGCAGGACCCAAGTGGGGTCTAAGTTTCTAATGTCTAACAAGCTCCCAGGTGATGTGGATGCTGCTGGCCCACCTGCTATATTTTATCCAGGGCAGTGGAGGTGGGAGTGGGAGTGGGGTGGGGTGAGCAGAGAGAAGGGAAATGGGGGCATTGAGGTCTGGGAGGCTGTGGTATGACATCTCTTGGGGAAAGCAGCTCATCCTCACTTTATCTCTTTTGTGCTCTCCTTGTTTTTCTCTTCTACTCTTGTAAATTGTCATTAGAAACCTCTCTTAATCTCTCTCTCTCTCTCCCATCAATCCTATAGAGAGAGTTAGCTGAGAATCAGGACATCTGCATTCTTGTCCTTCCCAGGGGAGTCCACCCCCTAATCAGGACCACAGGATGCTGGAAGGCAAGCTCCCTCCCCCTCCCGGGAGCCCATGACTCTCACTCCAGGTGCCCGTGCCAGGGTGGGAGCCAGGGTACGATGAATCTGCAGTTGCTCCCCAGCATGCCCATCCTCGGAGTGGGGAGCAGGTGGCATGTGGGGAGAGCTGTAGAAAGGCCCTTCCTACTTCCCAGAACTCTGGCCTGGCCCCCAGGGCACAGGAGTTAATGAAGATGGAGGGATGGCCTCCTCCTAATGGGCCTTTCAAGGCCTGGCCAGGAGCCCACTGGACATACTGCCTTTGACCTTGGTTCCTGGTAAATATGCTCTAATGTGAGGTGTCTGAGTCAGAGAGGGAACAATATCTCTGAATGGGAAGTTATCGTCGAGTTAATTTATAAATTTAGAATCAAAATCCTAAAGGAATTGCTTGGGAGGAGAGTGGTAGGGAACTTGATAAATTAATTCTAAACAACACTGGTAAATGAGAGAGAATAGTCAAATAAGTACTGAAAGAAAAAAATAACGTAAGGGGCTATGATATATACTAATGTAATGTAATAGAGAGCCCTGAAGACCCAGCTGTACTTTATTTTATTTTATTTTATTTTTTGAGGAAGATTAGCCCTGAACTAATATCTGCTGCCAATCCTCCTCTTTTTGCTGAGGAAGACTGGCCCTGAGCTAACATCCGTGCCCATCTTCCTCTACTTTATACATGGGACACCTACCACAGCATGGCTTGCCAAGCGGTTCCATGTCCGCACCTGGGATCTGAACTGGCAAACCTTGGGCCGCCAAAGCGCAACGTGTGCACTTAACCACTGTGCCACCTGCCCGGCCCCCCGAAGTGTACTTTAAATATTCAGAATATGACAAATGTGGCATTTCAAAATGGGTAGGAAATGAATAAATATGGCTTAGAAAATTAAGAATTTGATCTTTCCCCAAACCGCATACTAACGTAAATTTCAAATGGGATAAAGAATTAAATATAATAAATGATACCAAAAAGATAATAGAGGAAAATATTTATATAATGTCCATGTGGGGAAAGCCATTCTAAGTTTAATATCAAAAGTAGAAACCATAAGGGAAAGATTGAAAAATATGACAGCAAAAAGATTTTGTGCATCAAAAAAATCATAAAATTAATAGGCAAAGGATAAATTAGGACAATTCAATATATATCTGAAAAAGTGTTGATATCATTACAAATCAATAGGAAAAAGACACCACCCCAGTAGGAACAGGCACGGAGCATAACAGACATCTGATTTAAAACTAAGTGTAAATGACCAGTAAACATGTGAAGCCATTTGTAACAATAATAGTAACAAAAGAAATGCAACTTTGGGGCAGACCCAGTGGCGTATTGAAGTTCGAGGGCTCTACTTCGGTGGCCTGGGGTTCCCCGGCTGTGATCTCAGGTGTGGACTTATCAGGCCATGCTGTGGCAGGTGTCCCACATATAAAGTAGAGGAAGATGGGCACGGGTGTTAGCTCAGGGCCAATCTTCCTCAGCAAAAAGAGGAGGATTGGCAGTGGATGTTAGCTCAGGGCTAATCTTCCTAAAAAAAAGAAAAGAAAAGAAAAGTAATGCAACTTAAACCACAAGGTACCTCTTTTTGCGGCTGAACTGGCATAGATCAGAAAGATATTTTTTAAGTAACAGCCAGACAGGGGAAGAGTTTGAATAAACAGACACTCACATTCTGC